TATATATATATATATTCGAGCTCTCTTCGTCGTTATTTTCCAGCGTGTAAGAAAGATTTATTTGTTTCCTGTTGCGTAACGAGTGTGGCGCGTGTATTGGAAATGAAGAGCTTATCTCGGCGAGGGAATTCTATACCCACGTACTATACGTGCTGATAATCGAGTACTCACGGAAAGATTTTGGACGTGGTGATACCACGCGTAGAGCGTGAGCAGGTCGAGACAATGGGTAAGGTGGCGCGTTGTGCAACCTCTCAAGGAGAACGAGCGACACACGCGTTCCTGCGTGTCCGTGGACGCATTTGCGCACGCCCGATGATAATCGACAGAAAGAGAAAGGTCATCGACGAGGGGAGGGGAACGGGAGTAAGTTTCGCTTCCTCTTCCTCGTTGCGATTACGAGTAGGTAAACGGGTATATCCGAAATTGCGGAGAGTGACGCAACGCGCAGCTGTACGTATAAATTCACGTGGCTGTTGTACGTGTGCGTGTGCGTGTGCAGATAAAAAAGTATTGGATATGCCGGCGGAAGCACGCCACCGCACGACAACCAGCCGTGTTTCTCATGCGGCCGAGTATATATGAATTCGCGCGGCAGTTTCGACTCTCGTCCGTTCGAAAAAAAATGTTCGTGTTGCAGGCGATTTTACTTTTAAAAAAAGAAAGTGAACGATATATGCATTCTCTCTCTCTCTCTCTCTCTCTTAGTATGAAGTTTCAATGAGACTCGATTCATAACCTATGCGTAATTAACGCACGTCGATCGATCGACGGCCATTTTTTCTTTCTGCTTCTCGCCTGTGCACGAGAAGAGATCGCGGGAGGAATTCTAGGTAAATATCGGGGCGGGCAGACTCTGCGGACTGTACAGCCAAGGACAGCGATGCTTCACGATGAGAGAGACCTGTACACGAGAAGTCGGTAGTCTGCGTTGGCTTTGGCATCGTGGGTATTGATCGCAACCGGGGCAACTCAAAGGGGAGGCCACCACGTTAGGCTATTCGAACCCCAATTGGATCGACCTACCTCGTGGCAGGGAACAGAAGGGGGCCAAATCATCGCGGCCTCTGTCAACCGAACTTGTATATTTTAATTTTCGTCCTCTATGCGCGAATATTATCGCGAGTGTTGCTGTCCGCGAAATTAACAAAAGCCCTCTTCTTGTCGCGTACGCGTCCCGCTCGCACGGCCATCACTTCAGTGCGACGATTCCGTTTTTTATGGCATTCCCAACGAGGGGATGCCAAGTGTGCCAAATGTTTCAAGAAATTCGTTTCCGTTATGGAAACATGTACATATGTATGAGTGGCGCGGGAGAGATGCGAGATATCTCCGCTCGATGAAACGTTGGACACGCCGTGTTACGTAAAGTACGCGAAAATACTTTAATAACCATAATGTTCACCGTCTGAAGCAACCGTGACGAGGCAAACGCGAGGGAAAATTAGAGATTATCCAACGTTTGACAAATAGGCACGTCGCGTT